GGCTCTACACTTAATGCTCCTCAACCTCCTGCCTGAGGGGAGCGGGGCAAAAAGTGTGTGTGCTGGGTGAGTGGGGTCCTTCATGATGCAGTTGGCCCTCTTCCTCTTCTAGAGGTGTAGATGTCTGTGATGGTAGAGAGGCTGACTCGGAACTAGGAACAAAGTGTTTAAAAATGAAAGCAATTGTTTCAGTTATACTTTCATCGTGACTATCGCAAATAGTCACTCCCCCACCCCACCTTTTTTAATTAACATTTTTGTTTGGGACTGACTTTTTTATTTTTCCTACAGGTCACTAAAAACATGTGTTTAATAAGATAACTAGAGCCTAATATAACTACAGACTCTCTAATAAAGACTTTCATCCAAAATACAAGTTTGAGTAGTTCAAGATAATCAGCCAATGTTTATTTTTAAATTATCAACAAAGGAACAAAAGGCCGGGTTATGGCTAATTTTATTTTAATTCGGCATGAGCAGCGTTGTGTCTGTTATGCGGTGTCAGGAGGGTAGGACGTAACGAGATTCCAATCAACAAATCAATCAAAAAATGTCTTAATTAGGACCCCGATCCAACACTTGAGACAGTCTCAGGACATAAGGTACAACCATGAACACTTACACCAAAAACATGCATGTTAGATTAAAAAACGTCCAAGACAAAAACAACTGGACTTTATTTGTAACATAAGACGTTTCGCTTCTCATCCGAGGAGCTTTCTCAATTCAAAGAACAAAGAGTGTGGGGTTCGAGTTATAAAAATGAGCTAAGATAATATAGAACTTTATTGATCCTGCAGGAAATTGTTGTGCCAGAGTTTCATTACAAAGGAACACATACAAGGAATCATACAAGATATAAAAATATAACATAGAATATAAAAAATAGCAGAGACTATAAAAATGCCAGCAATTAAGTTCTAAAACAGGTCAGGTGCAGACAGAAACATTAAAGTGTTTATTTTAGTGCAGGACTAATTTTTTGTCATGCGTGTAGAAAAGGGGAGTAGTAGAAAATGTTGATAAGTCACAGGGAGGAAGGACTTCCTGTGGCGTTCTGTGAAGCACCTCGGTGGTCTCAGTCTACGACTGAAGGTGCTGCGGTAAGAGTCCAGTGTGACATGCAGGGGGTGTGACGTGTTGTTCAGGATCTGGAGCAGTTTCCTCAGCATCCTGTGCTCAGACACCTCTGTCAGACACTGCAGTTCTACTCCCAGAACTGAGCCAGCTCTCTTGATGAGTTTATCGAGTTTGTTGGCATCAGCTTCCTTCACCCTGCTGCCCCAGCACACCACAGAGTAGAAGAAGACGCTGGAGACCACCGAGTGGTAAAACATCTGCAGCATGGTCCTGCAGACGTTAAAGGACCCGAGTCTCCTCAGAAGAAAAAGGCGACTGTCCTTTCTTTTAGAGGGAGTTGGTGTTAGCTGTTCAGTCCAGTTTATTGTCTAGGTGGACCCCCAGGTACTTGTAGCAGTCCACAGTGTCCACCTTAGTACACTTGACGTTGATAGGGTTGGGGGGGTTGGTCTTCTTACTGTAGTCCACCTGCAGCTCTTTAGTTTTTCCAACGTTGAGTTGCAGGTGGTTCTGTCCACACCACTCCACAAAGCTGTACACCACACCTCTGTATTCAGCTTCCTGGTCACCAGTGATGCAGCCCACAATGGCAGAGTCATCTGAGAACTTCTGTAGATGGCAGGATTGTGAATTATACCTGAAGTCCGAGGTGTAGAGGGTGAACAGAAACGGTGAGAGGACCGTCCCGAGGAGCCCGTGCTGCTCAGTATGGTGTCCGAGGTGGTGTTCTCCAGCCTTACATACTGTGGTCCACCTGTGAGGTAGTCTCTGATCCAGGTGACCAGGTGAGTCATTCACCTGCATATCCAGGAGCTTACTGCAGAGTAGAGCAGGTCTTATGGTGTTAAAAGCACTGGGAAAGTCAAAGAACATGACTCTTACAGTGCTGCCTGCCCTGTCCAGGTGCGTGTAGGTTCTGTGCAGCAGGTAGATGATGGCGTCATCAACTCCAATGCGTGACTGATATGCAAACTGTAGGGGGTCTAGGTATGGCTCCACCACTGACCTGACATGCTTCACGACCAGCCTCTCCAGCAACTTCATGGCATGTGATGTTGAGGCCACATGTCTGTAGTCACTGTGCGAGTTTGGGTGGTTATTTTTCAGCACCGGGACCAGGCATGTTGTTTTCCACAGAGCAGGGACCACCCTCATGCTCAGGCTCAGGTGAAAAATGTTCTAAAAAACATTGCACAGCTGAGCTGCACATCCTTTCAGGAGTTTGGGGCTCCATTCGTCTGGACCTTCAGATTTGCCTGGATGTAGACGGCTGAGATCCATCCTCACAGCCTCCCTGCTGATGGTAATTGAAGGCGTTATGGGAAGACAAACATGGTGGAGGGAGAGGGGTGTTAGGTGAAGGGGGTTGCAGCTGGGGTCCATTATGCTGATGAGGAGGTAAGCTACGTTAATGAGAAGG